ATATATTCAATACGAATGTCTCATGGGACAAGCGCTGCGTCTCTCCGCCGTGGACGTGGCACAGCTGGGCTGGCCTGGGGCACATGCGCTGTCAGTCACAGAAGCACGATATAAATATGCGACGGGAACGCAGCGTTCCTGCTGTCGTAAAACACAGTCCTGACGAGCCACAGGACAGAGTCCGGCAGAGCAGGTGGCTCACTAGGCTGGAACCTCGTACTTGAAGATGACGCTGAAGAGTCGGCCGCCCAGCCGCTCGGCTAACCAGGAGTTCTTGATCACGGCCAGCTTGAGGCTCTCGCAGCGCAGGGCCGCGTAGTAGTTGGTGTGGACGGCGCGGCCCATGCCCTCGATGACCACCAGGTCCGCTCCACGCTCCCGCACCAGCACGGCCAGTCCCTTGTCCAGGCGGCTTCGGGGAGGAAGGGGGCAGTGAGGCTGGGTGAGAGGCTGAGTGTACCCGGGCAGATGCCCCCATTGCCACGGAGGGCAGTGACCAGCAAGCATGCCTGGAACCCCTGAGCCCAAATTCTCTAATGCAGGCCCTTCTAAATCCAGCCTCTGCCTGGCAGCTGCCTCTCAGAGCAGCCAGTCCACTAGGCCAGGTGCAGCTCCACTTCGAAAATTCTGCCTTGACATCACTTTTCAATTTTAAATAAAGGGTCTTATCCCTTTCCATAGGTTCTTACGTCCTTCCTGCTGGTCAGGAGTGAGACCGGAGCAAGGGACTGGGGCGACACTGCAGGACAGGTGCCAAGCACACTCAGACCAGGGATCCCAGAACCCGGGCTTCTCGCCCATCTTGGTGCACTGGCTCAGCTCTGTCCGAGTTGGCAAGGCAGAGCATTAGCTGTAACGCCTCTGGGTAGTCACGGATGACCACCCACAATGGCCACAGACAGTGCTCCCCATCTGCATGGCACTCCAAGGCCTCCTGACATCAGCCAGGCCTCTGGGCCGACTCTCAGCTTCTAAGCTGGGCAGCCACGTAGAAGTCCACTCCTCTTGGCTGAAACTAACCAGACCTGGCCCAGGGTGTGCAGCTGCCTCAGCCCTCAGCTCACCTACCCTCCATAGGTCCCTGAGGAAAGCTGGCTGCCCAGAGGCCCCCTCAGGGACAATGTCACTGCTCCCTTCCAGGGCCAGCAGGTCTGTAGCCCAGGGAAGGGGGAAGAGGCTGGCGCTGACTTCTCTTGTCCCGTAAATGCCTGGGTGGGAGGGATCCCAGAGGTGCGGAGGTGCTACTGTTACCTGAGGTCCAGGCATGGGGAGCTGGAGCCTGTCTGAACCAGCAGCAGCCTCTCTTCTCTGAGTGCAGACCTGCGAGAACACAAGGCAGTCAGTGCGCCATGACAGCGACGTCTGGGTGACCCCACCCATCCCGGTCCATGCCTATTAGGCCCAGCTGGTGTTCCCCCAACTTCTAGAGAGGCTGCCCATCCTGCACCTGCCCCGACTCACTGGTACTAGCCAACACTTACTGAACGATGGGGTCCATGCCTGCGATGCGCTCAGCCACAATGAGGGACTCGCTGTAGGTGACATCGTTCAGGGCAGGGCCTGAGTTGCACGCCAGGATGACCTGCAGTGGATGGCCCAGGCTCTTTAGGGCCCTTTGCCATTGCCACCCTGCAGCAGACAGACTGTGCCCACCCAGGCTCTCCAACAGAGCCAGCCAGCAGACAGCTGCTGAGAAGGGACCCCTAACCAGTGCGTGCCCTGAGGCCTCCAGAGGAAGCAGAGAGCAAGGGCAGAGCTATGCTAGAGCCCACCCGCCTCGGGTCAGGGGGCTGCTATGTTCCCCAAGTCTCTGCTGTGAACTCTCTTCCAGGAACCTGTGGTGTCAGTCCTGGCTTGAAGAGATGGACCCTAAGCCCCAGGCCAGGGGAGGCCATGGGCCGCTGACCCCACACGTGACAGGGCCAGATCATTGCTTGCCTTGCTGCGTCTCCCCCAGACCTACCTGCTGAGGAGTTCTGACCACCACCGCAAAAAGCCCGCAGCGGCACCAACCCCACCGTGAGTGGAGACGCCCAGGGAAAGGGCCCCACCCCCACAGCCTGGACACTCACCTCTGTCCCTCTAAAGAGTAGCTCCCTGATAAAGGGGAAGACTCCCAAAATGATGTCTATTCCACTGTTATCTGCGAAAATTAAGGCACATTTATGAGGGGGCCCCTGTAAGACAAAACCAGGACGTTCAGTTGGGAACAGGTGCATCCAAGCGCTTCAGACACCGCACTCTACGCCCTCATCCCCGCAGGGCCCAGACCATGGGCTCGGGCCCCAGAGGTGCAGGGGTACTGGGACAGGGCAGCCTCTTCTAGCACGGCTGGCCCAAAGGTCCTGGTGCCGAGGTCAGCTGACCTAACAGGGAGTCACTGCAGAGGCTGAGTGCAAAGTGAGATGTTTAAAGAGCCCTTCGCTCAGGAACTGTGAGACCCGGGGCCACCCCAGACAGCTCCTCATCCACTTCCCGATGGCCCAATGCCCCTCCTGTGACTGTCTGCCTGGGTCCTCACCTCCTGGGCCCTGGACCCCTGCTCCCCCAAGGGCAGAAGTGGGATACACCGCTACGTACCTTCAATCTCTGAAGCCACTCATTGTAGGAATCCACGAGCCAGGGCCGCTCTGTGTGAAGAGGGGGGGACACAGTTACCTAACGCCCTCGGTCTGGGTGGCTCTCGTTAGACACATCTTCAACAGCTTTTCTCCCCAGGCAGCAGTTCTGGCTGACTCCCCCGGCACTGGTGGTAAAGCTGTGAGCAGCAGGAGTGTGCCTGGACTCCCACTACACTACTGCAGCCACTCCCTCGAGAACACTCCAGACACCACTGCCTTAGTATCAGGCAGGAGAGTACTTTGGCACCCGTACCTTGCAACTTCCTTTTCGCTTCTTCAAAACCAAACTGGGGGTCAGATTCAAGAACACTGTGGAGAAGGAGAGAAGTTAAAGAAACGAAACCAAAATCTTGCGCCCGCACTGCTTTGTGTGGAAAGCCCAGACAGCACCTCTCAGACTGAACGAACGTGGTTACTGACGTGCAGCTTAAGTGGCCACTGCCTGTCAGCCACCGGAAAGCTCAGTTCACTGGTGATGGTTTAAAAGGGTAACGCAGGCTGCTTCTCCAGTTGGATTATAAAATCTCAAGAGAGCCCTAGGACCCTGGCCGGGCAAGTCCTCTGGCAGCCATGGGCGTGGATAGCCCCTGCCCCATGGGGCAAGCACCCTCGCCCAGTGCCCTCACCTGCTGCCCAGAAGGGATAGCAGTGACAAGGGTGAAGAGAGAACAGCTCTTCTTGGCTGTGAGTGGGCTGGTGAGGCCCATGTGACATTCAGGCGACCTGGGCTGCAGTGGAGGACCCTGCTGAAGGCATGGCCACTTGGGGAAGCTTCTTCAGTGACGAGGGCAAGTCACTGTGGAAATGGCTTGTGAAGCTGTCCACACATTGGGAGCCCTAGGTGAGGACAGACCAAGGCCCGAGACACATGTCACACATGCTACTCTGACCTCCTCTGCAAAGCTCCTTTTCTATTTCAGAACAGCAAAGGGTTCCACTGCCTGTGGGGCTTGTGTGCCATCTAAGGGGCAGACGAGACAGCTAGCCCAGCACAGAGGATTGTGGTGTGTCTACTCGCACGGCCTGCAGCACCAGACCAAACCCTGTGCAGCACAAGCACTGCGCCTCACCAGGCCTGCCCACCTCCCTACAGAAAGCTGGGCAGCCTGGGCCATCTGGAGGCAGGACAGGGACAAAGGAGCTGAGCCTGCCTGGAAGAGCAAGAGAACAAGGCCTAAGTCAGGCCAGAGACGAAGACACCTACTCAGACACGGCTTTGGCCCCCCAGTCAAAGACATTCCCCGCCAGGAGGCCCTTCACCAGGGCTAGCTGCCTCTCTTCCCAGTCTAGCGAGTCCAGGGAGCGGATCACACTCTGAAAACACTTCAGTGCAATGCCGTTTTCCTTCTGCTTTACCTGTGGAAAGAAGAGACGCTGGATTTTGACTCCCCATAGACAGCCTCTCTGGAGTCCTCCGCAGAGCACAATCAAAGAACACCCTCCTGAGGATGCTCCAGAGTTCACCAAGCCATGAGCGAGCCCCTCTGGGGACAGTGCGTACTCAGCACAGCATTCCCTCCGCAGCTTCAACATGCAGGCTTGGCCAGGTTACAACGCTACCTGCCTTGGAGCAGTGCCGGGGAACTGGGTGCCTCTGCGCTCAGCACACATGTGCATGGGACTCTGAGGACAAAGCCAGGAGACCCGTGGCCCTCAACAGTGACCTAATCTTGAACTCACACCTAGCCTTTCCTGTCACTAGACACAGTGAGGGGAAGGAGGGAGTTATGTAATGCTGACTCTAGACAGAAGGAGCTGGAAGAAGCCCATGTGACCCACTCCCAGGCCTGCAGCCACACCAGAAGGGTCTAAGGCAGAGCGCCAGTGCCTCAGGACTCTGGCCATCAGACACATGGAGGGAAGATGGACTCAGACATGCAACTGTGCAAGCTCGGTACAGTCAAACACTGTGAGGGGGGCCTCCATGCACCTGTACCCGCCCCTGCACATACACACATTTAGCAGTTGCCTCGCAGGCTCTCGGAGGCCACTGGCTCCCTTAGATGGCGCCTGGACCCAAGCATGGCCGGCCCTTCTCATGCCAGCTCCTCTCTTCTCCCCTCACACACACCTGCCAACCCGACTTGTTCTCAGTCATCCATGGGTCACTGTGGTGGCTTCGCAACTTGGGCCTGCAGGCAGGGCCAGGTCAAGGCCACCACCAACTCAGCACTGTCCAGACAGCATGGAGTACCCCCTTACCCTCTGCACCCTGCTCTCACCATCAGAGATTAAGGACAGTGTGAGCAGCTGGCAGGAGCCCTCCAGTGGGCAGCAACACTCACTTTGGAGTAAGGGTCTGGGAAGCTGAACTCGTTCAAGCAGTGCTCCCGGGTATCCAGCAGGCTGCGCACCGTCAGGGTCCCATAGGCGCTAGGGACAGAGCCAGGCATGGGTGCTGAGCAGGGCGGGCCCTGGGGGCAGACAGCACCGAACATGCCGCCTGCTCCACAGGCATGACCTCGTGGAACCCAGGACAACCCCATGAAATAGCTGAGTGGGAGGCCATCGAGGGCAGGCATGAGGGGACTATGAGCACTGCTCGCCACTACCTGGGCCCCACCCTCTCTTCTGGTATAGCAGGGGGACTGAATGTGGACAGTGGGGCCACTTCCACAGAGATGTGGGGTTCTCTTGGCATGACAAGAGGCAGTTACACACCAGGGGACACCAGATACTCACAAGGGCTGGTGCCTCAGAGTCTGCAGCTTGTTCCAGTACTTCTGCCGGAACTTCTCTGCCCTCTCAGCTGCGTCCAGGGAATCGGGCTGGCTTGCTACTGCACGTTTCACTACCTACTGACAATAGGATGGTTAGCAAACACCTGGCTCTGGGCACACCTCAGGCCAAGGGAGGTATCTGACCTGCTGGCACATCCCTCATGCTTAACTGTGGACGCTCAGGGCAGGGCCTTCTCAGAGGGGCTCCTCCCAGAACGAGCATAGTAGATACTGGTGATAGCTCATGGTGACAGCTACCAGTCTGGCTGGCACTGCCGCGGCTCAGACGGCTTTCTTTTTCGCTAGCCCGGGAGGTGGGAACAGGGTGACTGCCAGCCTGAACTCACCAACTCTGAAACCAGGCCCACGTCCTCAGATGTGAACCTACAGTCCCATCACTACCAGCTCCCGCCCTGCAGGAGGACAGGCGGTTCTGAGCCCTTAGGGCCTATTTGGCGCTCAGAACAGACTCTGGCTGAACTCGAGGGCCTGTTGGGGCCTTTTTTGTCCTTTTGGGACAAAGGTTCCCACCAGGGCTCCAGGGACCCTGAGCTGGAGGAGTTGAACCTGTCTGAGGTTTGAGTTCAGCCACTGCTGCTTCAACCTTGTGCCACCTGAGGAGCAGCCATAGGCCGAGGGCCTGGTGCCTCCTGCTGCCACCGGACATGGTCCTGGCCTTGGAAAAGGCAGGAAAAAGCAGGACCCCAGAGGACAAGGGAAACTCCTAGAGCTCATGGGGCTTGATGGCAGGGCCTCACCCATGCCTCACCCTCACAGGAAGCAGAAGAGGAAACACTGACCAAAAGTCATACTACATTTCAAAGAAATGTAACAACTAGCAAATGTGCTCGGCACCTCATCGATATCATGCCCCAACTTGCTAACCTGCCAAACGACTGGGAGCTGTATTTTGCTTGAGAAATAGAGCCTGGCCTTCTCATTGCCAAAAACAGATTACGTAGCTTTCGAAAGACAGAATCCTGACCTTCAGCCCCTCAAGTTGACTCATGGGGACAAAAAGGGGCCACTGCCCTAGAATCACCCCACATGGCCTCCCAGACTATAAAGCCCTCTGCTCCCCACCAGCCTTGTGCTGTCTCTCCTGGGCCCTCACCCCGTCCAGTGCCTCCTCGAAGCAGGTGAGCCAATACTTGCGGGCCAGAGCATCGTCAGTGAGGTCGACCGTGTCGGGCACATAGGAGGATGGGTCCAGAAGGAGGGGCAGATTGACTAGCGGCCTCTCCAGTCGGTCCATTTCCAGCAAGTCAAACTAGAAGGACAACAGACAGCAGGGTGAGTATGTTACTACAGTGTTCAGAAGGACTAGAATGTTCTCTTCTAAGTTTCAACGTTCTGCTTAAAGGTAGAAGAGAAGGAATAACTTCTTCAGCAATCTCTGAGCCACAGACACGACCCATGACCCCTACTCTCAGCCTTGAACTCTGGGGCCACGGAGGTGACCTCCTGCCCCGCCCTTCACTAGTTCAACAGCGAAGTTGGGTCTACTCTAGGGGTTTCAACTCTGCCGCCTCACGGTGGCCCGTGGCTCTCAGCCAGCCTCCCTGACTGCTCCAGCTCCAACATATGCTGTTTCCTCTTCACACTTGGCACCCGGACACCATGGTCACCTCTTTGTCCTTGACATGCCCCTTTCTGTTGCTCAGGTCTCTGCACCTGCTGTCCCCCAGACGTCTGGTAGCTGTTTCTTCACTGGCTGTGGGTCTTGCCCCATGGTGACCCACGCAGGCAGCCCTCGAAGCCCTCCTTCCATTCCCCATTGCAGCCCGTCCCCTTCCTCAACATGCTCCTGTCTGCCAAGTGCTACAAGCCTGCCCCTCACTGTCCTGGCCCTGCTACACTTGGCAAGGGCTGGACCATGTCACCAGCCCACATGTAGCATGTGGGCACCAGTGCCAAGCACATGGGGCACCAGAGTGGTTTTGGAGGGACCACTCACCCTGCTGGCTCTATTTCAGGCTGAGAAGAGCTGAGCCAACACGTGTGCGCCAGCCCCAGGGAAAGACATTAACTACACTGCACAGCTGCTCTGGGGCCAGAGGACCCGTAGAAGGGAGGCAGGGTAACTCTGAAAGTGACCTCCACCCTGTACCTGCCCCTGCCCCCTGGGGCCGCCTCTCCCTGCCCTCTAGTGACCACATGCTTCGCCACACGCCTGGAACTCGGCGCCTCTGGCATGAGCACTTCCACCAGCCACAACAGGGACAGAGCGGGACTGTCTGGACAGAGAGATCCACCACAAGAAGAAGGAAGTAAACATACCCAGGTGACAGGAAGTTCAGCACTGAAAGAACTGATGACTTCCACACTGATAAACAAAAGGTGACAAACATCTAATTACCACCATCAACTACCATCTTTAAAGGTTCTGCTTTCCACTGCCTCGCTGGTTTTGCTCCGCCAGCTATCCTGACAAACGGGAGTTCAGATGTTAGCTTTTTCCTTTGTTTTGGCTATGTAAACTCAAAGTGCCTTGGTCTCTGCATTTGGGTTTGCTTCTCAGTAAAACGGGGCTCACCACTAACCAGCAGGACTGTGTAGCTGTGGGAGGTGCTGGGCACAGGACATCTGCTTTCCAGACGCTGCCCCTCTCACTTCACGTTGTCATAACTGAAGAACATTCTGGCACTGGCCAATGGTTGCCTTGCTTACTATCCACTTAATTTTACCATCTGAGGATCAGGAATCTGAGAAGCCGCAGAGGCTAGAAGACATGGACCCCCTTTCTGAGCACCAGTCCCTGGCATCGACCAGGCCGGGAGCGTGGGACTCTCCCTGCTGTCCCAGGGCATTATCACCGCCTCCCCTGCCTTGTGCCTGGCCCATGGAAAGAGCAACAATCAACAATCAAACAGCTGGCGTGAAGTACCCAGTGCTCGGTGGGGCCTGCAGTGTGCAAACAAACACGAGAACCTTCTCTCCTAAAGTTATAGCTCAACCAAGCATGATTCTGGAAGTGATACACTAACTTATGAGGAATCTGCACCCAGACTGCTCACTTTATCGTGTGTTGAGTTACAATGTGTTGAGTTACAATGTTGCTAATATGCCGGAGAGCCCAAGAACCCCATGTCTGCCATAAGGGGCCATTCTGGAGTCACCCTGCATCTGGCGAATGTAGGTCGTAGCAGAAGGTCCTGTGTCAGTGGCTCTCACGAGGCAGACACATGTGCGTACACATCTCCTTATCTGCAGCCCCAGTGCCCATCGGCACAGGCCAGGCAAGACTGGCGTCCAGTCACAGTGAGCCTCACCCTAAGCAAGGACCTGAGTGACACGAAACCACCAACCAGAGAAAACAGTCCAAGGGCAGGCACCTGTGACTCCAGGTTTTAACCTGATTCTGCTGAGAACTGGCCCCACAGCCCTGGGGAGATGTCCCTTTCCTCTCTGGACTTTCGTATTCTCTCCATAGTCACAGGAGTTTGTTGATATAGACTTCAAAGTTCTTGCTCAATATTCTGAACACATGAAAATAACAAACGAGAGAGGAAGAAAGCAGCCGATGTCTTCCTTCTAACCTGTTTTTTGTTTTAGAGAGATTTTTTTCTATAGGGCCTGTGCACTCGCAGAAGAGACAGAGACAGGAAGCAAGAAGTCACCCTCCAGTGGGGATGGCCATGCCACAATCCCTCCTCCTCATTTTCCTTTTGGGATTTTGGGCATGCATGCATACATGCCCGGCATGAGTTTTAAGCCTCCAGATCTGAGACTCGAACTGTGGTCAAGCCATGTGGGAATCTGGTCCCCCTTCTGCCTTCTGTTAAATCCCCAAGTCTGTGGTGAGACTAAAAACCAGATAAAACCGATCAAGAGGTACCCTTAAACCAGGCCATGGCATGAGGGGCTTTACCCAGGGACGTGAAGGCCAGCCCTGCAAACGCTGCTGTCTGGGGACCCAGGATGCCAGAGCCCCTACTCACGGTACCACTCCGCGCCCGCTGTGTGGGGCACAGCTCAGGGGACGTGCTCATCAGCCCGGAGCTGCCTGCGTAGTTCTCTCCCCAGCTGTACTGGTTAGGATCTGGAAAACGAGAAGCCAAGTTGCCTGGGCTAATATCCCTGCCCTCAATTCAAAGGGGGAAGAGGGAAGAAAAGGGGATAAAATAATTTCTTTTTCGAAACGTTAAAAGCACCCTTTCATGTCACTCCCTGAAGCTCACGCTTCCCACCCCACCCCGCAGTATCCTGACCCAGAGCATAGGCCATGGGCCACGTCCCCGCACAGCCTGGCACTGCTCCAAGGAGCACAGCGGCACTCTACTCACTGTCTTGCTCGGCTCCTTTTAAAAATGCCCCGATGGCTCCCAGGTAGCCTTCGTGTCTCAAGAACAGCGCCTGGACTTCTCCCTGCCATGGCCCATGCCACAATCCCTCCTCCTCATTTTCCTTTTGGGATTTTGGGCATGCATGCATACATGCCCGGCATGAGTTTTAAGCCTCCAGATCTGAGACTCGAACTGTGGTCAAGCCATGTGGGAATCTGGTCCCCCTTCTGCCTTCTGTTAAATCCCCAAGTCTGTGGTGAGACTAAAAACCAGATAAAACCGATCAAGAGGTACCCTTAAACCAGGCCATGGCATGAGGGGCTTTACCCAGGGACGTGAAGGCCAGCCCTGCAAACGCTGCTGTCTGGGGACCCAGGATGCCAGAGCCCCTACTCACGGTACCACTCCGCGCCCGCTGTGTGGGGCACAGCTCAGGGGACGTGCTCATCAGCCCGGAGCTGCCTGCGTAGTTCTCTCCCCAGCTGTACTGGTTAGGATCTGGAAAACGAGAAGCCAAGTTGCCTGGGCTAATATCCCTGCCCTCAATTCAAAGGGGGAAGAGGGAAGAAAAGGGGATAAAATAATTTCTTTTTCGAAACGTTAAAAGCACCCTTTCATGTCACTCCCTGAAGCTCACGCTTCCCACCCCACCCCGCAGTATCCTGACCCAGAGCATAGGCCATGGGCCACGTCCCCGCACAGCCTGGCACTGCTCCAAGGAGCACAGCGGCACTCTACTCACTGTCTTGCTCGGCTCCTTTTAAAAATGCCCCGATGGCTCCCAGGTAGCCTTCGTGTCTCAAGAACAGCGCCTGGACTTCTCCCTGCCATGGCCAAAGCCCCAATGCAGCTGGTCAGTGTGGCACATGTAGAGGCCAGTCTGCAGAAACCTGACCGAGCACAGGTAGGCTGACTCTTTGAGGCCAAACATCCTGAATCATGGTCCCCACACACTTGTCAATGGGGCTGTGCCTAACGCAAGTGGGCAGCCTGCTGTCTGGAGGAAGCTGAGGGTGAGTCTTTCCACAGGGAAATAACTTCCATGCTGTTACCACCCAGTCAGTCCCATCTGTGTCCGGTCACTCAGGTGTGTGCAACTTCACTGGGTGGGGCAGCACCCGATCCCCAGTGGACAAACCTGTAGGCCTGGCACTGACATGATGCCTCCTAGCTTGTTTGAAGCTTGTTTGAACTGTGAGACAGTCCCTAGCATGCCCATTGCTGGTGCATGCTCAAACCTAGAGCAGCCACGTGAGCAGGATGGCTGAAGCCAGCTAGGAAGAAAGAGTGAGGAGAGGAGGCCTCAGGGTAGATGGGCACTGGGCTTCTTGAAGCTCAAGGAGGGCAAGTGCCCCATTCTGGTCCATTATGCACAGCACCCCTTTGGTCTGCAATGGCCAGCACATCACTCTTTCTGAAGACACCACAAGTTCACGTTGGCGGAATCGGGGCAAACAAAGCCCAGGACAGTGGCCATGGGAGAGGAGGTGGAGCTTTTATTACCTTGGAGAAGAAGTTAATGCTGTAGGTGATGGTGCGCATGGTCACAGGGTGGCCCCGGATGAAGAAGCCCCCAAAGTACACCCTGTCCAAATGGTGGAGCTTAGCGTAGAGACAAGCAAGCTGCCCGATGTCATTGCTGATCATATGCAGCAAACTCTTGGCCATGTCTTCTTTGGAGAATTCTAAGAACAAATGAAAACAGAGTGGCAGATGGGCATGCAAACCGAGTGCGTGATGTGTGTGCACTTATGAGAGAGCAGAGAGACAGAGAGGGAGAGAAAGGGAGAGAGGAAGAGAGCGAGCGACAAGGAGAAGGAGAGATGGAGAGAGAAAACATTCTCATGGAAGGACTTGATAGGAGCAAGGAGGTTGTGTGTAATATCTGAATCATTCCCAAATGATCAGGCTTGTTTTCAAAGGGAGAAAAGACCCAACCACTTTTCCTAACTCAATATTTTTCCGAAACAAAGGTGGATAACCTTTGCCCACATTTCAAGCACAGCATATTTGTGCTGTCAGTTGTGGTGACCTGGAAAGAAGGCTGCAAACTGACACCCAAGACCCCAACTCTCTAAGGAGTGGGATGCAAAGGCAACCACCGGTGGGGAGAATAAGGGCCATGTGAATCCAAGTCTGCCATTGCTGCAAGTCACCTGGTAGCTGTCCCCTCACGTTGGCAGGGGCCTGGGCAGGTACCTTTGTCAACAGTGGCCGATTTCCCGAAGCTGCTTGCAATGAGATTGCCGCTCAGCCCCAGGGTCTGGTGGGCCCCGCCATAGATGTCCTGCACCAGCATGTCTACATTCGTGTGCTGGCCCTTGGACGCCAAGTGCAGCAGCTCATCGAACTTCTGCAGGGACAGAGCAGAGGCAAACAGGTGAGTGGCTCAGGGCCCTGGGAGGAAGTAGGCCACGGGCTGGGCGTGAGCAGCCCTCTCATGGCACGGCACCAAAAGCAGGAGAAGCAAGCAGGGTTCTACAGAGCAGCTGGACAGGCGCGCTCCGACATGTCTTCGAGACTGAACAGCTCAGTTCTGGAGTCCAGAGACCTAGTCAGGATGAAGGCCTGGAAGGAACCACTTCTGCAGAAACCCCAGCCAGCTGCCCGTCTCAAGCTGCACAGCCAGCAGCCTTTCCACACACTCAGAGGCAGGCACTGTCCTATAACTGCTGGGGTACCTTTGTTTTGGTGAGCAGAGCTCCGAGCCCCCAGAAGGTGCCGCCTCCGATGGAGCTGCCGCCAATCCACTCGAACCTCTCCTCGCTCTCTACCTAGAGCAGAACCAGGGCAGGTGCATTAGCAAGTGGGTCCTTGGCCATGCAAATCCCCAGGAGTCCTGTGGTCTGGGCCCCTCATCCCCTCCCTGAGAGCTGCCACAGGTGACCAAGCTCTTGACGTCCAATACCGAGCAGTGCTGATGCTGCAATAGGGGCCTGGCCATCCCATTGACGACAGCTCCAAGAGCTCATGGCTTCATCTCTGTGAGCACCGGTTTGTCCCTTCCCTCTTCCCAGCACTGGCTCCAACACACAGCAATGCTTAACGAATCACTGCCGAATTGTTGGCTCATTCACTCAGTCACTTGTTCTCAAGGCCAAGTCTTACCTTCACAATAGAGACTCCAGAACCAATATTAACCAGGAGATACGGGAAAATGTTGGGATGGTTTGTCTGAAATCGGAACTCAGGGTCTGCATCTTTCTGATACATGAAGGCCTCATGAGGGATGTTCTTTAGCACAAAGTTGCACCCTTTTATCAAGCAGGTCATCACATCTTCCTTGTCTACTCTGGAAAGGAAGGAGCCCAACCACTTCAGACAGTCCACGTCACAGAAAGGACTAAACCACAACAACCCTGCCCTGGACTAAGCAGGCAGAGCAGCCAGCCTCTGTCCAACAGGAAATTCACCCCGGAGACACTGCTCCTTGTCATAGCTGCGCTTAGGCTTCTCATTCTCACAAACAGATTGGTTTTCTTTCTTTTTTTTTTTTTTTGTGAGAGAATTTTGCTGTAAGATATGTGCACTCACTGGAGAGACAGAGAGAAAGAGAGAGATCTGGTTTTCAAAACCATCAACGGCCAGGCGGCTCACAGTAATACAGTAACGCTAAGAATTGGGCCAAGACAACCCTCACGCCCCTCACAGCCCCATGGCTCTCGTAGTAGCCGCAGGGATGGCTGCCTTTTCTCTTCCCAGCCTATACAGCTCCCACTTACTTCAGCTGCAGCTTCTCCTCAATGAGGTCTTTGAACTTGTAGGCCCCACCCCCTGTCGCCTGGATGACCTTGGTCTCTGTGTTAACCAGGTGGTCTTTGATGAAGTCCAGGCAGGCTTCAATATAGGTGTTCTCAAACTTAATGAAATGCAGCCGTGCGGTGATCTCTTCCTGAACGGAAATCTCATATGGCGGCTCATGGTCCTGTTCTGTATCCTGAAAACAAAGTTGGAAGTCTCTGTGCGCATGGGGCATGGTGGGGACATTGGCCTGAGACAGGGTTTCTGAGCACCCCTGTCCACCTCACCCTGCTTTGGTGCCGAGGATTTGCGGCAACATTATAATAAGTAAAACCCCTGATGCCAAGGCTGCCCCGGCCAGGGAAGGAAAATTTTCTAAGGAGCATAAGCAGGCAGAGATGTTCCTGCAAACGGTCTGGAAGGGGAGCTGAGCAAGCAGAGGGAGAGGTGTCAATCGTAGGAGCTTCCAGAGTAGCTAGGCTGATGTGTGGGAGCAGCAGAGAAATGGCAAACCAAACCAAGTGCCCCGTTGAAGCCAAGCAGGAAGCACTGCCCTGCCCAGCAGCTTCACCCCACATACTCATCCTGCCCAGAGGCAGCGCAGCAAGGCTCACCTTTCCCGAATGGTCGAAAGATCTCACTTTGGCAACTTTGTGTTGCACTGTTGAGTAGTAGGCCAGTTTTGTTAAGGATCCACCTACGAGGAGGAAGGCACAGACAGCAAAATTCAGCTACATGGATGGAAGGGGACCTAGAAACTTACCCTCCCATAAACTGTCTGGGGTATTTCCAGACATTTCAGTGAACAGGCTCCTTCTCAAAGACTGGCATCTCTGTGGACAAGGCCTTTGGTACTACAGAACTCACACACCCTGCCAGCACAAAACAAAGGGAGGAAGGGAAATGGACTAGCAAATCCAAATACTTCTTTTTTTCCCCCCCATAGGGCCTGTGTGCTCCTGGGAGAGAGGCAGAGAGAGAGAAAAGGAGAAATCACTTCTCTGGGGGATGGCTACACCACAATCCCTTCTCCTCTCGGGATTTTGAGCACACACAAACACACACACACACATCCTGGCACGATTCTCACGTCACCAGGTCCAGGGCTTGAACTGTGGTTGGCCATGTGGGAGTCCAGTACCACCACACCACCTGTGGGCCCTGGAGGCTGCTAGCCAAACTGAGCTCAAGACTGTCCATGTCCCTGGTGTATCAAATTCTAAAGGACACCATCCTGTTTCTGGATGACCCTGGCCATCATGAGTAGTTTAAGAAAACCTAGTTTCAAGCACTGATCTTGATAACTCAAATAAGCTGACAAATCTAGTTATGTTTTCACAGGAAAGCACACACATAACCGTCCATCTTAACAAGTGGCTTAGGTAATACAAAAAGAGTATCTTCTCAGAATATGCAGGGAGACTCTGGGGCATTTTTCACCAATAGAAAGGAAGCAGGGCCAGAACGCAGCAACCCTGCCCTCTAGGGGCTCTGCATTGCAGGAGGCAGCCCAAGCCCCAAAGTTAGCCAAAGGGCAGAAGAGGTGACTGTCTTTTCTCCATGGGGCCAGAGCCTTCCAAATGGCCTCAGAAAGCTGTGACCCCTAGCATGGCACACATGACAAAAGGCTAAAGTAAATATCAAGAAACAGAAGAGGCCTTTATTCACCTGAAACACATTTTAGGAAAAGTTCAAAAGATTCTCAGAGAAGTTGTTTTCACGATGCACGTGTTAAGTCAGAAAAAGACATTTTATTTTCATTGCCAGAGAGCACACATGCTCATCAGAGAGAGAAACACAGAAAGCACCCCCAGTGGGTGTGGTTACACTGTGATCTCTTTGCCTTCATTTCTCTGTCCTGTCGGGATTTGGGTCTTGCATACACATGTCTGGCACATTTTTCAAAGCTACTTGGGTCAGAATTCATGCAGCAGTCAGTGATGTGGGATCCAGCTCCCTAAACCACAGGTTACATACTGGGTGGGGTCCAGAGAAAAGACATTCTGGTTTTGTTTGTTTCAGTTTTTAGTTTTGACTATAAGGCACACACACTGGCCAGAGAGAAACAGAGAGACAGAGGGGGATGGTGAGAAAACATCCCTTCTCCTCCATTCTCCTTTAGGGATTTTGGGCACATATGCACCTGTGCCCGGTGTGTTTTTCAAGCTGTAGGACCCGGGACTCAAACCACTTAGTCGGCTACATGGGATTCAGCTGCCTTAACCACCACACTACCAGCTGGCCGAAACAGCATTCTCAAGGTTACAGTATACTCACAGATTTGAAGGCCAGAAATTGCAAATAGGAGAAATAAAATGCTCAGTATACAAAATGACTTCAACAAACACCATTTCTATGTGGCCTGACAAAAATAAGACCGAAAGTCCTCATATGAGAGTTAAGAGGCTAAAGTTATTTTCAAATAGTTGTTTCATGACAGAATAATAAAAGTCAACATTCGTATAAGTAAAAAGATTTACAAACACCAAGTATTTAAGAACCAAAGCTCTTCTATTTAACAAAAACTCAAACAGCTGTGAGATCCGGCAGAGGTTGTCTTGTTCAAGCCGCCTGTCGGCTGGTATCTTGCGACCATGCCTTGGTCAGGCCATGGGTGGGCCCACGTTGATTTAGTGTACATATCATGCCCTGACGCAGCGTAATGCCCTGGCTCAGTGCCATGCCCTGGAACAGGGTCTTAATCCTCCTTATCCCTTCTCCCTGTCCCCAATCCTGGCCTGGCTCGGAGAACCTCACTAAAATGCTTCACCCCAGCTGTCCAAATTCACCTCTGCAAGTAAATCATTTTCCAAAAGGACAATAGGAGGGAATGATTATTATTTTAAGAGATCCATCAAAAGTAACCATAGGGCCAGCCTTAAGGATTAAGGGAGCCAAATCCCACATTAACAACTGCAGTTTGAGTCCTAGCCTCGGCAGCTTGAAAAGACACCCCAGGTGTATGTGTGTGCATGTGTGCCCAAAATCCTGATGGGAAGGAGAAATGAAGGAAGGATTAAAGTATGATCACGCCTCATCAGGGAGTTTTCTTTCTCTCTCTTTGGCAAGCGCATGAGCCCACTAACAATGAAAAAAAAAAAAGGTAGCCATAAACAAACTTCCAGGTCACAGAAATTCAATTTCAGAAGCTGTGTTCTCTGTGTTAGGTTTAACTCACATCCAAAACAGGATGTGTTGGGGTTTCTGGGAGGTACACCACCCCTCTCCCACTGCTAGGCAATGCTGGGCAGTAAGAACCATTAAGATGAGAGATTTCCACCTTCCCAATTCCCACCCAAGAGGGAACAAAAGGGACCATGGGTGAGAGTGGGGATGTGTAGAACAAGGAGATCAGGTTGACTTACGAGTTAGCTTGGAGAGGCTAACTTTTTGAACTTTCACATTTCTGCATACATCCAATGACACCCCTAACTCATTTTCTCTCTTGATTTAACCAAAGTGTTAAGGATGACAGTCATAACTATTGTTTTCCAGTAAACAATAAATATGATTAAGAAAAAATTGCTTGGAGAACAGCACAGCGGGAGCCTGTGAGAGTAGGAGCATTTTAGTCTGTTTTCAGGTATCCCTTGGAACTAGAAGGTATCCAATGCCGGTTTACCAGATCACACCTGGCCATGCAGTGACAGGTTGGGGTCATCGTCTCCCCCAGTGGCTCTGCAGCCAGCACACTCTGCTGAAGGCCTACACACCAACACTGCCTGACCAACAGGGTAAGAGCGCTTCCCAGTAACACTGTCACCTGTCCTACCTCCTCCAGCACCTGAGGCAAAACCTGGTTCGCCTAGGCCCATGGCGGCTGTCCTCCTGCCACCTTCTCTTACACTGCCGTTCCATTTGGGATCCAGGGAAGGGTAGGACAGCCCAGCATGTATCATTAATTTAGTCCCCTCCTGTCCCACACACGCCCCAAAGGACCCTCCTCACTGCCTGCAGAAATCTGAAGTCAAGACTTCACAAATGAAATGTCCCAGATGCTATCAAAGAGGTGAATGAATCCAGCTGACATTGGCATTCCTCTGCAAGAGAGAAAAAGCTCCCCAAGAATACAGAGTAGCTGAGGTTCCTGGATCCGGAGACTTACTTGGGCAAGGGAAGAGGAAATGGAAGAAGCCTATTTTTAAAAACACTGTTGACAGACACACTGGCTATCAGGGTTCCTGGACTGAGGATCCTCACCCCAGGCTGTGATCTCCCACCAGCTACAGTAGCAAACAAAAAGGCCTATCCTCAATAACACTAAATACGTCCTTTTAAGAATCAAACCATAGGACCCAGAACCAGGGGGTCACTTATAAAGAGAAGAAATAAATTATCAACACTAATAATATCCTTAGAGTGTCTTTCTGTCAGGAAAACCCTCTGGACTAGGACAGCCCTTCCTTGCCGGCTCACGTCTTATGGCTATTTGCCGGCCTCTAGGGCCACAGAACATCAGAGGGAAGCCTGATTTTCTCAACCATCTCCCAAATGATTCATGCAGGTCAACTGCAATTGCATTTCAGAAAATGTAATCTCGGAACCCAAAGTGTAAGGGTAGTACAAAACCTTTCCGAGCACACACTCTAGTACATGTGGAGGTCTCAGACTAGGGGACAGCACGCTGTGGAGGCGGCTGACTAGAGAAGCTGGTGGTGGATGATCCTGGAGGCCAGGCCTGAGAGCTCACTCCCTCCAGCCCAATGCCCAGTCCTGTCACCAAGTCTTATCAGGTTTCCCTCCCCAGGTCCATCCCTCCAAAAAGGGGATGGCAGCACGGGTCTGACTCTGACATCCCTACTTTTCTAGGGAGAGTGAGAAGCCGGTGGGGGCACATTCAAGGATTTATTGAGCAAAAACAGGTGAGGCCTCAGTGTTGGGAGCTGGGGCATCAGGGAGCAGACATTGCCCTGCTCTCATGGGGCACCACTAGGCACACAAGCAAACTCAGCGGAGAGAGGTACTAAGGGGGAGTGGTGGTGGTGGTTTACTCAAGTGGGCTTCTCCTAACCAAGCTATCCCAGGAAGCGCTCCCCCTTTTAATACGGCTAGTGGGTGAGGCTGGCGGAGGTTGCAGCTTGGCTCTGCCCTTCCTAGTCAGGGGACCCTATGCAAGCTAGTCACCTCTCTGTGCCTTTGTCTCCTCATCTGCAAAATGGGGTACTTCGAGAATCTCAGGGGCTTGTTGAGAGATGTCAGGGAGTCAGTGGCATGAAAGAAGGGTCGAGACAAGAGGTGGTGCGAGGTCAGGAGTGGAAGTATTGGCAGGAGGCGGCGGGAGAAAGGGGCAGGCAGCCGCAGAGCCAGGAGGTTATGGGAAGGCCCGGGGCTACTGAACCCTTGGAGGACACAAGTTCTCAAGGCCCGCGTCACTCTCCAGAACGAAGCCTGCAGGCCACAGCTAGCCAGGTCCGGGGCCTCCCAGCCAAGGACTCTGCTGGCTCGACAAATCTTAGGACGGGGCCGTCCAACTGCTAAAGGGGCCCCTCCTGGCTTAAGCCCCTCCCGGCCCCGACCGGTAACGCAGGCCCCAATCCCGCCGCCCCGCCCGCGAGGCCCAACGTAGTCCGCTCCGGCCCGCCCGGCACCTGCCGGGGACTGTAGTCCGGACGCCGCCGCCAGCCCTGGAACCGCCGCCCCACGAACTACAAATCTCGTGAACCTGCGCGGCGGGACGCGGGTAGACTACAAGTTCCGTAAGGTTGTGCGCGGTGGGCCACGGACTACAAGTCCCGTGAGGCCGTGCGCGGACGCCCGCGCCCCCGGGGGCAGCGTGATGCTCTTGTCCAGGCTGTCCCCGCTGCTCCCGCTGCCGCTCGCTCCACGCTCCGCCATTTTGAAAGTGCCCGGCCAGCCTCATCAGCCATGGAGATATATGCGCATATATTTGACTGCTAAACGCCCTTATGCATATATTATGCTAATGAGGACTCCTGCCCCCGCCCTGCCTGCCTCCGTGGTCTGGTCTCTGGAGCGTCTCCTGGGCCTGGAGCTGTCAAGTGTGGGCGATTATTCTACAGAGGCGGAGCATCAGCACAGAACATCTGGAAAGATGTTCTTTCACCGAGCTGTCCAGATGCTTAACTAAAGTGCTCTGAGCCTGTCCTGAACTAGCCTAAGCAGGCCCTACTCCAGCTTGTAAGAAGTGCATGAGGGTCTGCAGACCTTCAGAAACCAGCCCCTACTGCAAGCATGGCCCTTGCATGTCATGTAAACCGGGCTAGTTGGAAACCCTACCCTCCAGAAGTCCTCAGCTTGGGTGCAACATGCACCTGTAGCTAGGGAAGATGTTCACTTTAAAGGCAATCTGTGGAGAGTGCAGGGGGGAAAACAAGGGAGGTTTCCTGGAGAAGGCAGACTTCTGGCAAGACTAAGTCTGTGGGGAGCCCACTGGTGTGGGAAGCACTCTAAGCCAGAAGAGGGATATAGGTGCTGGCAGAGTGAAACAAGGGGAAGCCCTGGCTGGTCTGGAGAGATTCGTGGCCTCCAGAGGTCCTGGTGCTTTGGGGAAAAGCCCAGTATTAGAAGCAGACAGATCAGGCCTTAAGGTGGCTTCAGCACCTGCCTCCTGGGTGACCCTGGGCCAGTTACTGCTGTCTCTGGTCCTCAGGCTCTGTCTGCAAAGAGGTTGCCACTAGCTGCCTGGCAGGACTCTTGGGAGCACAGGCTTGTGGAACAGCATGAACTCAGATCCAGGGATGATCCATCAGTGTGTCAGGCAAGGCTTCAGGGAGAAGACAGCCTTATGGGTTTGTTCCAAGGGGCTGGCAGTGCCATTCTGAATGGGAAACCTGCCCCAGGCAGCCACACACAGCCATGAGTGTGCAAGTGTGCTGACAGAGTGTAGACCCCAGGCAGCTCACATCCCTGGCAGTGGGTTGTACCAGTCTGATCAGAAAGCATGTTCTAGGAAGGTAGTAGTTGTCTCCCTACCCTCACCTCCGACCTATTCATTGACATACCCTTGGCTCATGCAATAAACATTCTGAATGAATGGAGGCCTTCCCTGTCCTCTGCTGACCACAGTTGGGGCTCATCAGTGACCCTGAGAGGCCACTGACAGGCACTGGGCTAGCATGGAGGGGCACCGTATGTAAACATTCCTTGTAGAATAGACAGAAGGAGATGGAAGATGGAGAAGGGAGAAAGTCGCTGAGTGAGAAGGAGCAAGGGCAGGGCTTGGCCATGTCTGTGGCCTCCTCATTCAGAAAATATGCAAATACTTCTGGTCCCACCACAAGCTCCTTCTCACTCCTTGCTGGATGGATTTTGCCTCTTGGGGAGCCTAGATGCCTGAAAGCTGTGGTTCCAGGCTTAACAACCCCCTGTAGCCCTGCCTAAAAATAGGTGCCCTTTCAGAGGCAAGGGATCACCCCTGGCCAGCACTGCCTGATTCAGCCCTGGTGAGTATTCAACTTGTGATGAGTGGTCAGCTTGTGGGGAGTGTCCCTGCAGGCTAACCCGAGCAGTTGCCCTGGAGTTCATCCAGGGACAGGTACTACAGGCCTGGGAGCAGAGGTGGCTGGGCAAATGTTTTCTCCTGTTTGTTTGGCCAAGCCAAGACCATGTTTGCTGCAGCAGGCTGTAGCCTTCAGCCTCTTTGTGGGCAGAGCCAAAGGTCCTGTAGCTGACACTACACCTACTCCTATAGCGCAGAGAGCTAGCAGACAGGCCTCTCTCCCAGCTTGCCACTCCCCTGCCTCTTGGTCACACTCTCCCTCCCAGACCTCCCTACTTGCCCTCCCTCATTTTCAGCTTCCCCTCTCCCTCTCTCCTTCCTTCTTTCTTCCTCTGTCCAGAAAGTCACAAACAAGGACCCTTCCCCACCCCTCTTTGCGTACCATGGTATGCCCACTCCCTTTCACCCCTCCCTCCGTGGGTGCCAAGGACAGCTGTGAAGACTAAAAGGAGACAGGCCACTGAGAACTGAGCAGTCAGATTTTATTAGAAGCAGATTTTATTAGAACAGTCCCATGGTCTCACACGAGATCAAGGGTTCAAATTCTGAGTACAAAGTTGTGCCCACATGCACCCACCCACACAGAGGAATCCTTTAAGGATCATAGTGGAGACCCCCTCCCCACACACACACCCTCCCTAAATAGCCCACTGTGAGCCCCATCAGACGACCCAGGACATGTGAGACCTTTCCACCGCGGTGCCACATGGCCTTCGCACCCTTGCAGGCTGATTACTCTTTCCTATGAGGATACACCTGGAGTTAGGCCTTCACAAAAGGCAAATGTGCCCATGGCACAGCCCGCCCGCCAGGGGTGCTTGCCGAGCAGCTTCGGGCCCTGAAGAAAGTCCTCTACAGGCTGGGGGCACCGGCTTGCGGAACCCCTGATGCCTACAAATATCATAGAACCCCGGGCTGCCGGGGACTTCCCAGAAGTCACTTGCTGAAATGCAAACACAGAACAACCCCACAGGGTCAGACACTTGGCAGAAGATGGGCCCTGATTGTCCTACAATGACAATGACTCTGCACACATTCTCTGAGAATGACCCTCTTGCTGGCCCGCCAGCCTGGGGAGAGAGCCTTCCGGAGAGGGGGTGTCCAAGCCTGGGGCCAGACACTGATGGGAAGGCTCTTCCCTACGCGCAAGAGGAACGGGCTCGCCCTCTGGTCCTCTGGGCTGCTCCGGGGTCACCAGGGCCGCCAGAGGCCGCAGGC